CGCGCATCCTGTGTCTACGTGGTATTCGCGGCATTGATGTAATGTCAGGCAATCTACTGCAGCTGAGTGAATATTTTGCTGATCGATATGGCTGGAGGCTTCGCGCATTCTATCTTATCGCTCTCAGAGCGTTCGTATCGCGTAACCCAAGTTTCCGACGGTCTCGTTGAAACGACGGGCAGCATGAATCATCCGCTCCCCTCGACACATTTAAGTATGCGCCAGCGTGGCAACAATGAGTGTGCTGGGCATTGACAGAAACATTCGTGTTCGCCTGTGCGAATGTTGCAACGTGCTTGTTTCTTGAATAGTGTTTGAATGCTTACTGCAACTTATGTCGCCCACAAAACAACGAGCATCATCACTAATGGAACGTTTACTATCGCCATAGATGCTTCACTTTTTAAATGAAACTGCAAGTTTTATTTTAGAGATTTCGTATGTTGCAAACACTCATTAAAAACATTTATTGCTGAAAACAGAACGTATTTCTGCAGCATTTCGATATTTTCACTAAGTTATTAAGTCACTCTATAAGGTACCTTCACCGGAGCTGTATTTTATTCATTGTACTTAATTGCGAATGCTGCAGCCTTAATGTGCTTGTACAGAAGTGGGAAATAGACGAGTATTAGAATAGTTTTAACGCACAAAAAACAAGGTGAGGCATGGCCTCGAAAACGTTTAAAGAACAAGATCCCAAACAGGTCTCATAGATGTTCGATTCAACAGAAGAAACTGAAAAGATATGACAGCGGCGAGTTTAAAACGGTAATAACATTTGCTATTGAATAAAGTTGGGCAATGGTAAGGAATGAGTGGATTCGGGGAGTGAGTTACAACTGTTCGCAGAGCATAGGTAAACAACCATTTTAAATGTTTATGTAGACCTAGAAAGAAGTGATATTATAAAGTCATAATGGCGAAGAGTACATAGATCATGTGCGAGACAAAACATTTGCTATCTGCTATAGGACAGATATTTTATGAATCACTGAACATCATAACTTGAAGAAGTCGACATTCGGGAGAAAAAAAATCGGTCATAAGCGTAGAGATTAGAGAACTGAGATCAGAAAAATTTTGTGATCCCACCAGCGAAAGACAGGATGAATAACGTTTCTTATGCATCGCATCGCTTTGATTTCGAGGTCATTGTGAGGATTTACCACTGCTAAAGCATATTCTTTAATACTGGCCGGACTAGCCACGTATATATATATATATATATATATATATATATATATATATATATATATATATATATATATATATATATATATATATATATATATATATATATATATATATATATAGTGAGATATAACAGACAATATTGACAAGGAAAGTAGGGGAAGTTATTAGATTAAATTGTAATGTAAAGGTGTGTGAAGAAAAAAAAAGTGGGTGAAAATATAACTTACCTTGGACAGGAACCGAACCTGCGGCCTTCGAATAACGTGTTTGATGCTCTACCACTCAGCTACCGCGGCGGTTATTTCCCCAGCCTCTTTATTGGAGATATATGTGAATTTAAACGTGGGATTGTCAGTCAGCGCCACCTGTAGCCATGGCGGCGAGTGTGGCACACTCTTTATGAGCCTGTTTGGTGTCACGTAGCACGTGAACTTATTACGAGTGGGCAGATGACCAATAGTCCTTCGTATACAACCTAAAGGCACCAAGTCTGCCAGTACGAGACCCTCGTTAATGAATAAGGGAAAGAAGTGTATATTGAAGGGCTCGTTTTTTCGTGGTTTTGACACAATATAATGAAACTTAACAGACAATAATGCCAAGGAAAGTATACGAGGGACTACTGGTCAGCAGCCCACTCATAAGTTCACGCGCTCCATTGGGGTTTTGGTTTCTATCCCGTCCGCGGTGGTCGCATCCCGATAGAGGTCAAGTGCCAGAGGCCCGTGTGCCGTGCGATGCCAGTGCACGTTAAAGAACGCCAGAAGGTTGAAATTTCCGAAGCTTTCCACAACGGCGTCCCTCATAGTCATATCGGGCTTTTGGGACGTTATACGACGGATATTGTTATTATCATGCAGGTGACCAGTATGTACAGTGCAAACCTGCCTCAATTTCCTTCGTTACTCTAAAATTATTTGAATTTACATTTCTGCGCTGAGCAAGTGTGGTTAACTTTGTCCAAAAGTCGAACAGTAAATAGCGGGCAAGTAGAAAGCTCACAAACGTGGCTGTCAAGTGAGACGTGTCAACAAATATGTCCCGTGTTCGACATCAGTATCGAGAACTCTCCAACTTTCCTTTGACCGTGTGTATGTTGGATGGGCGAGGCACTGCACTATAGCACTCCTGCGTGAGCATCACAATTCTCTGCAAGGCCAAGCTATAGCTCTCACTTGTCGCACCACTGTCGGGAGTGCGGGTCGGGTATATATATATATATATATATATATATATATATATATATATATATATATATATATATATATATATATATATATATATATATATATATATATATATATATATATATATATATATATATATATATATATATATATACTCCTTCGTTTGGCTGGCAGCACCACCATTTTGTATACCAGGGGTCAGGCGCAGCGAGAAATTGTGGAGGCTGCCCATGTCCCTGTCAGAGCTGATCTAGCTGGTTTTGGTCAGAGGATTGCGTCGCTCAACCCTCAAGAGCTTTTTGTTTGATAAAGAGCTGAGGAATCCGAGTATCTCAAGAAGGGTATATAGTCGACAAGCACTGTGCACGTGTCCATATAAGTGCTTTCTCGTGTTGGTGTCTCGCTTCGCGCTACATGAAATGCTTTCAAGGGGTTATCGTTACTTTAGTTCATGCATTTTTTTTCTTACGGGACCCTCCACGTGGAATGTGGTAGTTGTTATTTAGGGTACGGTTTTGCAGGAAATATGCATGATTAATAGTCAGTCAGCGCTCGTCACATGCTCCTTCTTGTGTCTCGTTTTCTATTTTCCTTTTTTTTTCTTTTTCTTACGCTGTGCATTAAGTAGGGATCTTGCGCACGCTCGCAGCCGTTGCGCGAGCCACGCAGTGAAGAAAATGGGTGTAATATTGAGAGATTCTGCGTGCCCACCACAGATGCACGTGACATTCTGTGGTCACTCGATGCCACCGCCCGGGCCGGCTCGGAGGAGCCGCTGAAAGGAGCCTACCAAGAGAAAAATGTAAGCGCGAAATGACTTGTTGTTTTCGCTGTTCTTTCAATATCTCCCCGAGTGGCGTGATAGAACGACGCCCCGCGAGGCCGCAACTTTGCAGGGCGGAGGGGTCCTCCGCGCGCGGTACTCAGCGGCGAGAAGAGAGGCCGCGATAAATATCGCCCGCCCGATACGCTTATCGAAATTCTGCAAACGGAAACCCTCTGGCGACGGGCTCCTCTTCGCCGTACCCGACCCATCGCTCTGAACAGACTGCGCCTGGACAACATGGAAGCAAGGCTGTCGACCTTCGTCGTGCTCTTGGCGCTCGCCGGCGTCGCTTCGGCCCTGCTCAGGTGAGCTCCGAGCTATAATATGCTTTCAGTCCCTCCCCGTCAGTAACTGCTACAGCCTTTACAGAGCGTGGAATGTTCATAGCATTTGTAGCGTTCGGAGACTCAGAGTTGCGCATTATACTTAGGTGATGACCTACGGATACGTGTCTCAATTATGACAAGTGCTGGAGTTAACAGCTCTTTATTTTTAATACGTGGGCCAATTTATTAACTCGCGCAGAAATATCATTACACAAATGTCAGTATGTCAGTATAGCCATTGGAATACGGCCACTGAGGCAAGAAGTTGAATCTGACAGCAGCAGCGTACCAGGCCGACCACATCCAAGGTGGACACCTCATGAGTATTCAAGCCGGTAAAACTGGACCTTTTGTTATACTTCCCGAGGTAAATATCGGTTAAATGACGTCTAGTCGTGGTGTCGACAAGAACAGTACAAGTTTTACAAATAGGCTTTAAATGTGAGTTTATATGAGGCATTGATTACTAATGAGGTGCTCACGTTAGATTTCGTCGACCCTGTATACGTCTCATATCACTAAGACGGCTAATGTGGCTAGTTTCAGTGCAGTTTGCGTACCTGTTCGTGCCACTGCACTATTTTATGCATTTATTTTTTTTAAGTACCTTACACGTTCTTGGAGGCATTGCGTAAGGGTGTCAGGCAAAAAAAGTTTACATCTACTATAATTAGAGAACAAAAGGAAGAAGTACAAATATATACGGAAGTGAGAACAAAAAAGGAAGTTACAGTAGCATATGCGGGAATGTAAACTAAATTCATTTATGCCGTCCTCCAAGTCCCACATCATATGAAAGGCACGAATGTTTAATTAGCTAAACGCATGACATTAAATACCTAAAAACCGGGCACGACTTGTTCGGTATGTCTCATTTTTATAACCGCAGTACAGTGCATTCCATGAGATAACGTCACTTCGCCTCTATTCCGAGCCTAAAAAAAAAAATGCCGCCCGCATCATTCCACGGGGGAAATACGAGTAAATTCGTCGCAATGTGGTGGGGGTATCTCGTGAATGTTGCGTAATTGGGTATGGTTTGTGATTGCTTAATTGTTATCTCGTCTTTATTATTCCTATTTATTGAATGAAGCAGAAGCGTCGCCTTAAAAGTCAAGCGAAAGTCAAGCCGCCCTTGACTGAATTCGTAACGCGCGATCCAGTGCCTACATATATGGTGTCGCAGGTGAACGGTTGTGCTGCACGCGCGAGCAGTCGGTTTTTACCGGCAGACGCTGCCTGCGCCGGCCTTGCGGGGTGAGAGGGGGGGGGGGGGGGAAGACAGTTGGCACGAGACGCGAGCATGCGCAGCGGAGGCCGGATTTGCGTGTAGGTGTGACTATAGAATGCCCCGCATTTAAAAGCTCAGCGAGGTTACTGAAGAGACACCACGAGCACTAATCGCGCCCCTAGCTCTCTTAATACGGGTGTTTCGCTTAACCCTTTCGGCCCTGGCGTCGTCAAATGACGACACGACTCAAAAACTTCATTTTCAACGTGAAAACAGAACCGAAACTGCTCGTTTTCTTTTTCGTTGTACAATTGGAAGTGCTAGTGCCATCGCCATCATTAGTCATGTGATCCCGCAGAGGAGCGTTGAAGGAAGAAGAAGAAATGACAACAACAAACATGGCAGACGCATCGGCAGGTACGTGCGCTTTTCTTTCTTTTGTAATTCATGAACCGCTTCATATTTCAAGTTGTAATTTTTCTTATAATATCTAAACAGATAGCCCATAACACGGGCATTTGAATTATTGTCACTGCATGCGCGGATTACTTGCAAAAAGGCGTTTTTTCGGCGTGCGGTTTTGACGACAGCAGGGCTTTGTGGTTGTTCATCGCGTGCTGGCGGGCGGGCGACTTGCGTTGGCATCCGGCTACATTGAGCTTTTTTTTTCCTTACAGGTGCACCTAATCCAGGTATACCAGCATCCTCGTTCTACGGCAGGCGTTTAGAAGAAAGCACAGATGCACTTTTTCATGAACTGGACAATGGTAATTTGTCTGATCTAGAAGGAGAAATAGACAATTCCTCTGACAGCGGTGATGATCTTGAGGAGCCCGAGCAAGAACATGCTGACAGCGAGGAGGAAAGTGCGGATGATGTTTGCGAGGTGCCGGCAGCAGCTTGGACTAAAAAGAAGTTCGTAAAGCCAGACACATCTTTTGAGTGCGACGAACTTCCTTTTTTGAATACTAACGAAGAGATGCCCTCACCGTGGGACTACTTCAGTCACTACGTTCCCAAGAGCATATTCATTGACATGGCAGAAAGAACTAACCAGTATTCTTTACTGCAAGAAGGGAGATGCGTTGGTACAAATGAACAGGAAATCCGACAGCTGATTTCTCTTCACTTGATCATGGGGGTGATGCGATACCCAAGGCTACGGTTATATTGGAAGCCGGAAATGAAGACTAGGCTGGTGGCATCCACTGAACTCTCACGCAACCGCTTCGAAAAGCTGAGGAACAATCTGCACATCGTTGACGTGTCTCTGCCGGACCCAAAGGATCGCTTCTGGAAGGTGAGACCCCTTCTTGATAAATTTGAAGCAAGGTGTCGGTCCTTGAAGGTGGAGGAACGATTGTGTATCGATGAACAAATTGTTCCCTTCAAAGGAAAGCTCGATATAAAGCAGTATGTGAAAGGCAAGCCACACCCCTGGGGTGTAAAAATCTTCATGCTGTGTGGAGAGTCTGGCATTGTGTATTCTTCCCTGCCTTATCAGGGGTCAACAACAAGGCTAGACGAAAGCCTAAAACAGCAGTATGGCGTGACAGGCGCTATAGTGTCACAGCTTGCTCACCGTATTCCCTGCGACAAGGGGCACAAGCTATTTTTTGACAATTATTTTACGTCACTGCCTCTGCTGCGCATGCTCCTTGATAAGAAGATATTTGCTGCAGGAACAATTCGAGTCAACCGATGTCAAAAATGCCCGCTGGAGCCAGAGAAAAATCTAAAGCAAAAAGGTCGCGGTTCTTCCGCTTCTGTGGTCAGCAAAGATGGAAAAGTGGCGGTCACACGATGGTACGACAACAAGGCTGTGACTCTGGCATCGAACTTTGTGGCTATCGATGATGAAGACACCGCAAAGCGCTGGAGCAAGAAAGATGGGTGCTACATAGAAGTAAAACGGCCTGCTGTTGTAAGAATGTACAACAGCAGCATGGGTGGAGTTGATAAAACCGACTTCCTAGTGGCACTCTACCGCACGAAGATTCGGTCACGAAAATGGACACTGAGGATGATATTTCATGTTATCAATGCTTCAGTCGTGAATGCATGGCTTGAATACAGAAGAGATGCAGTCGCACGAGGGCTGACGTCTGCCAGTCAGCTGGACTTGCTCGACTTCACTCTGAGTATTGCAGAAGCCCTTGCACGAGTACAGAGCCTGCCCAAGGCGAGAAAACGCGGAAGGCCATCGCTCTCACCTTTGCAACCTTCTAAAGAAGCAAAATATACCGAAAATAGGCCTGTGCGAGATGTGCGATACGACGAGGTGGGACACTGGCCTATTCGCTCTGACAGCAGGGAGCAGCGATGTAAGCTGGAGGGTTGCACGGGACAAACGCGTATAATGTGTGAGAAATGTAAGGTGCATGTGTGTCTTGCCAAGTCTCGAAACTGCTTCCGAGCATTCCATATGCATAAGTGATGAAATTTGTGCTTGGAACTATATTGTACTTTTCACATAGCAATAAACCAACTTTTCGCTGTTTCGCAACCACTGAGCCCTGATGTGCGGTTTTGACGACGTAGATGTAAATCGGTAAATAATCGCAGAAATGAATTTTTTTTTGCTTAGTTAAGTTTCTAGAGTCCTTGAGGTATCAAATATCTAAACGAAAAAAATCTGTGTAGAAAATAAAAATTCCAGGGCTGAAAGGGTTAAATTATGGGGCGAGTGATATACTGCATTGCTACGGTTGAAGCTTGAGCTGGTTGGTCGATGCGGTTGCAACGAAGCAAAAAATAAAACAGCACTAAATTCCGACAGAACAGCAGGCGAAAAAGGAATGGCAAAAGTGCTGTTATTGTCCCTCCATCTTGTGCTCTGGAAAAATGTTATTGTTTTTTCCCTTTAGTGATTTATTGTACCTGTATCTTAGCCGTTTACTTAATTGAAAAGCATTTCAGGCATCATTTATTAAACAAAAAGAGTGAAGATGAATCCCTAGTAAACAGTTACAACATTTTGTAACTATAAGCTTTCAAATTTCCAGTGGGTGCGTCGTGCACTCTAATCGGGTATTCCTACCTGACGTTGCACAAAAAACATCGTGAATACCACCCTAGCTAGTATGTCTTGCTGAGACACGCATTATCCTTGCTGCGAGCATTTATCATGTTTTCTCACCCTGCAAAACCCACTGCGATAAAGGCTACGCATATATCTCACGATGCAGAATAAGAAAAAAAAATGGATGAAATGATTCGCTGTGCAGCGTATCAGGCACTGATGTATTGTCCTCCAGTTAAGTGGCATTGTCATGTCATGGATAAAACATCGTGGATAGAGGAAAAAGTCTGCTCTAGTAGGTCTTAACAGATCGAAATGAGCGACGGGCGTTGCGAAACTCACTCTGCGCGCTTATTTTCACGTGCATAATTTGGTATATGCTTCTGCGTAGTAGCTTTATCAAAGTAGACGCTGTCTTCCCGCTATGAAACCTGATCTCAGTTGCAGCAATAATGCCGTAGCTCCCTGGGCAACTTCTGGTGCACATGATATCACGACTTGCCAACTCGTTCCGTAATGCTGTCCTGAAGGTCGCGCTCCTACGAATGAGAACGCACGTTTTGCGGTGCTTATATTGGCAAAATAAAAAAAATAGCAAAGAAAGTCATTCATACCGGTTGGTTGGCTGCATTCTACAGCGTGCCACATTATGATTGACCTAAAGAGGCAGCACCCTCATAAACATTTTAAGAGGGAATAACAAGTGCATTCAAATAAAGCATAACGTAGTCTTAAGATGTGATCATCATAAGTTATAACGCACGTCTTGAAGGCGTTGCACATAGTGGTATGTGTAGTGTTGTACAGCTAATAAGCGAGAAAAAAAGAGTTTACCAAATGGTATTCAGATTTCATGATATTGTCGCTTCAGTTTGCAGCGTTTCGAAATTTATTTTATTTTCACAGTGAAGACAAATGCGGAGCAATAACAATTTCTTATGCAGAATAATTTCGTTTGCATTCTTTCCCAATGTATAGTACAGGGAAAAAATGCGAAATTGAATAGGATAATGCTGCAGTTATACTCGCCTTTGGAGTGCATAGTCTAAGTCACGATGGACGACGTGAATGTGGGCTTCGCGAGGTATCTTTTTCACGTGAATACTGAGTTGATTGCAAAACAATGACAGCCTTGAAATTTTACGCCTTTCAGTTTCCTTCCGCCTTTCGGAGTGCAAGAGTCATTCCAAAGGGTTGACTGGCATCTTAGGAAATCGTAATTTCAAGGTTGTGGCTTCGTTCCCTACCGACAGAAAGAGTATTTTTCGTCCTCTACAATTCCTTCCTATTTAGATGAGAATCATTATGATACAGTAAACAAAGCACGAATAATGTCCCCTATGCTTTTCCTTGGCTTAACTGTCTCTAGGTTTCATCAGTTGCCTATAGTAAAAAAGTGCCCCTCGAACCATTCCCCATCTCTTGTACTTATGTTAGCATCATCATCATCATCATCATCATCAGCCTGACTACGCCGACTGCAGGACAAATGCCTCTTCAATGATCCATCACTCAGCTCGGTCCCGTGCTTGCTGCTGCCATTTCATACCCGCAAACTTCCTAAACTCATCTGCTCACCTAACTTTCTGTCTCCCCCTCACCCGCTTGCCTTCTCTTGCAATCCAGTCTGTGATCCTTAATGACCAACGGTTATCTTGCTTTCGCGGTACGTGCCCTGCCCATGACCATTTCGTCTTGATTTCGACTGGGATGTCCTTATCATCCATTTGTTCCCTGATACACTCTGCTCTCTTCTTGTTCCTTAAGGTTACACTTATCATTTTCCTTTTCATTGTTCGCTACGTCATCCTCAACTTAAGTTGAACCTCCTTGGTAATCCTCCAGGCTTCTGGTCCATAGCTAAGTACCGGCAAGATGCAGCTGTTATATACCTTCTTCTTGAGGGATAGTGGCAATCTACCATTTATGAATATAGAATGCTTGCCGAATGTGCTCCATCCTACTCTTATTCTTCTAGTTACTTCAATCTCGTGGTTCGGCTCCGTGGCTATTACCTGTCCTGAGTAGACGAACTCTTTTACAACTTCAAGTGCAATAAGTATCTCAAAGCGCTGTTTTCTTCCAAGGTTGTTGTACGTTAGTTTCGTTTTCTGCAGCTTAGTTTTGAGACCTACGTTTCGGCTCTCTTTGTGGAATTCAGTAATCGAGAATTGCAATTCGTTCCTTGAGTTACTCAGCAATGCAATGCCACTGGCGAAGCACAGGTTACAATAACGGACTCTGCATTTGCTCGTATCTATAACTCTTCCCATTTAAGGCCGCTAAAAACCTCCTGTAAGCACGCTGCAAATATCATTGTGGAAATCATGCCCCCTCCTTTATTGATATTATGTCGCTTTCTTTACGGAGCACTATGGTGGCAGTTGATTCGCTGTAGACTTCTTCCAGAATGTTGATATATGGTTCGTCAATGCCCTGATTTCACAGCATCTGCATCACTGCTTTATGTCTCGACTGAGTCAAACACCTTCTCATAATAAGGCTATATGTATAGTGGTTGGGTGTGAATATTTCGCTATTACGTGATTGGTAGTATGAATATGGCCTATTGTGCAGTAGCCTGTACGAAATCCTGCTTGGTCATTTGGTTAGTTGAACTTTTGTGTCGCCTTAACTCTATTATTTTTGTCAATATTTTGTACAGGACGAATAGGCCTGTAATTTTTCAAGTCCTTGATGTCTTCTTTTTTACGGATTAGGATGATGTTGGCGTTCTTCCAAGATTGTAGTACTCTTCCTATCATGAGACACTTCGTTGTACCACAGTGGTTTATCTTGAATGAGGTGGCTTTTCGTAATCTATTAAATGCCTTCTCGTAATCTCAGAAGACTATGTATAGTGGCTGGGTGTATTCTGAACATTTGTCTATCCCCTGATTGATATGTTATACCTCTTACATTAACACGGTCACATTAAAAACCTGGCTGCCTGTTTCTGAACTGCTCCATGCAGGATATCAACTTCATGTTCTCGGATAAACTAATCGTGACGTCATAGATAACAATAAAGTCTCCGATAGTGAACAGGTATTGGCGTGAAAAAAAATCTTGACAATTTCATTTCTGAAGAAGTGGGTCTCTAAAGGATATTTTATATGTGTACACTAATTTGTGCTTCAATTTAGGGCACTCTTACAACAGGCGCAAGTTGATGTTGATGTTCGATTCATCGTTAGCGAATGCGACCGGCAAATGACAGTTGCGAAATAAAATATTTTATATTCAGCACCCGCCTCGGCTTTTGGTGCGTGCACTGAATTTCTAGAAAAAAGTACACTCTTAGAAATAAAGGTCGGCATATATACCGAGCTTAACAGTGACATTTATTACTAACAAAAAGCACCAGCAGCAGGAAAGAGTAACCTCTTGGTAAGCCAAGGTAGTGAAATGCTGTTTAATGAAATTGCCTATCTGGTTAGGAAGCAAACTGTACCAACTCGACCACACTATAGTGGGCTACAGTTAGCTAACCAAAGTTTTCGCCTATTTTGTCCATATATGCATGTTCATTGCCATACTCCGCAGATCCAATTGCAAAAACATATATAAGATGAAAAAAAAAAACGAAATGCTTTGGCATTATCCTCTTAAACTAATAAAAAAGCTCTAATTACTTCAAGTATATTTGCCATGGCAATACGCATCACAACAACGTGCCTAGAGGTATTAGCGCACCATAGACAATAACAGACGCACTCACGCACACACAGAATCTACTCTAATATTAGCTTGAACGCTATTTATCACTTTGGGATAGCACACCTTTTACCGGTTAGTGGCCATAAAATTTGGAATAAGTGATTTTTTTCTGCACGTGCCTTAGTGGTCTAGATATTAAGATGCTTGACTGATTGATTTATTGCTATGTGGGGTTTAACGTCCCAAAACCACCATATGATTATGAGAGACGCTGTAGCGCAGGACTCCAGAAATTTCGACTACCTGGGGTTCTTTAACATGCACCATCAGCACACATGCCTACACCATTTTCGCCTCCATCGAAAATGCAGCCGCAGCAGCAGAGATTCGATCCCGCGACCTGAAGGTCAGCCGCCGCGTACCTTAGCCACTGGACCACCGCGGCGAAGCAAGATGCTGCAGGTTGTGGGACCGAATCACGGCCGCGGCGGCCTCATTTTCGCCTCCATCGAAAATGCTAGAAGCCCGCCCACTTGGATTTAGGTGCACGTTATGGAACCCCAAGTAGTCGAAATTTTCTGAGCCCTCCACTACGGCGTCTCTCATCATCTTATCTTGGTCTTGAGGCATCAAACCCCAACATTATTTACACATCATCTGGTGCCCTACTATTTACATATACGTGTGTTATCACGTAGCACGAAACTGTTATTCCAACGTATAACCAAGACATTTTGTCTAAATTGTAAATAATAAGACTGTAACAATTACGGCGTAATGTAATATAATAATATCCAGGTTTTTACGTCTCAGAATCATTATAT